TTTGGTTTTCTCTCTCTAGTAACAACGATGCATAGAATAAAAGCCTGATATATTTTGAATTTTTCACAAAATCGAGTTTGTAATTGAACTGGGTTTTGTGAATATTATTTTGAAGATATTCAGGTAGCGGCCAGACAACCGTAGGGATGAAGTTCCACAGATGACTAGAAATTTGGTTCTTTTCGTCTACTGACTCCATCTCACATTTCGTTTTCTTTTTTTTTTTTTAAATTTTCCCAACAATAATTTGAAACCATAGATGGGTCTTGGAGAAAAATTGAAAGGGAAATAATATTTGAAGGCATACAAGTGAGTACCAATAAAGTCACTAAAAATGTACATATTACCAGCCTTAAGCTGGCTGATATTGAAAGAGCAATTAACTTGGGCATTGTTAACTTGGTTCAAACAATTTATCCTGTACGACAGGTTGGAATTGGTATCCAAGGGGAGTAAAGTGATTGAAAACTGTCTGTAATTCAGGATAGTTGGTTCTTTAAGGAGCTGGAATATAGATGGGTCTTGGAGAAACCTGCATGTTTCAGAAATTACTCTGTAGATGCAGTTTGTTTTATGAAAAATGCTATTATGACTTGATTTGGGAACCTAATCAATTGCAGTTAGATTAAAAATGGCCTCTATCCAACTGTAAAACTCATACATGTTTTATTATTTAAAGCAATCGTTGCAACTAAGGTTGAGGGAGCTCAGGTTATCAAATTTCTTGAGCTTAATTGGATTTTGGGTGACTTCTCAGTTCTCTATACAAACGCTGAACTGACTCTTGGGTTCTAGTGGTGTGCTTATTCTGAATTTAGGCTAAGCTCTTGGTTTGGGGAAACATGTCTGAAGACCCAGACATGTCCTTGTTCTGTCCAATTAAGAGAACAAGAAGCCGAGGAATAAGAATCATATACCCCTGGAACAAAGAGTAGCCAGGCTCTGCTTTATTCAGCACAACAAAGAGGTTGGGAGAGTGCAGCAATCAACTTAAATCTTTCAGTAGACAGGAAAATTCTTCTAGAGCTGCAACAAAAACTGGTCCATATCCAAATTATGGAACCCATAGAGGAAAATATAATGATGGAAAGTTGAATTAAGTTTTCAAATTGACAGCATCAGAAGCAGCGAGGAAATCTTGTGACAGTAGAGGAAAGAAGGCCATTCAGCTGCCAATATCTGGAGGCGAGGAAATGAGGATTTGGCAACCTAATCAAAAGGGGGTGTACACTGTTAAATCAGGATACTTTGTGGGATCCAAAGCAAGTCATCCTCCACTAGAAACGAGCTCCTCTTTCTCCCCACACCCAAAACTATGGCGGGTCATCTAGAATATGAAAGTTGTGCCCAAGGTTAAACATTTCTGGTGGAAAACCTGTAAAAATGTCTTAGCAATGCAGGAGAACCTATACAAGAGAAAATGCGCTCCATTGCCACTATGTTAAAGTTGTAGGCACCTAGTAGAAACAATTGAGTATATTCTGTTTGAGTGTGAGTGGACCAATTTAGTTTGGTTTGGGATAGATGTGGGCTGTAGACCGGAGCTGACTTTTTTTCAAGTCAATAGCCTAAAGATCGTCTGAAATTCTTGCAACCATAGTAGATTCCTACAGGAGACTAGAAGTTTTGGGAAAGATAGCCACATTAGATTGGACAATTTGGAAGGCACGCAATCAAAATATCTTCAATTGCGAGAAGCCTAATGCCTAGGCTACTGTTGTTCAAACACAATATCTGTGGAATGAATTGAATGTGCTGGAAAGGGAGAATCAACCAAAGGTGCCAAATAGCTTAATTGTCAGCGATAACAGATTGCAGCCCACGCAATGTGGTGTCGTACTGAGCTGTGACAAGGCTTTCATCCAAAGAGTTCAAAGGTTGCATGTAGAGTCGTTTTAAGGGATTTTGAAGGAAATCTACTGGATAGAGCAACAAAGAATATAGCAGCAGTGTCTAGTTTATACTCAGAAGCAGCACCGGTGCAACAAGTTTGCATACTAGCAGATTCACGACGACTGACAAATACTACAATTGAAAACGACTACTTGGATGTCATCAAACTCAGCTCCACTGACAATGTTCCGCACTGGTAAATTAGCGCCTTAGTAAAATCCTATATAATAAGAAACAGATAAACGTAATTAATACTTATCCTATAAACTAGAAAAGATATATACATAATAGTAAATCATCTAAGATCAAGGAAAGAATCGGAAGAGGATTCTTCCTTATCACCCCCATTTAAGCTAATCATGGCAGAAGGAATCATGTGAAGCTTGTAACGGAAAAGTAGGAACGGAGACTTGGTGAATCCCTTGGTAAATGAATCGGCAAATTGGAGATGTGAGGGAGCAAAGGCAGCTTTTAAGGAACTATTTGCAATCAATTCACGAACAAAATGGTAGTCAATCGCAATATGCTTAGATCGAGGCCGAGTGACAGGATTAATTGCCATAAGAATAGCACTTTTGTTGTCGCATAATATCTTCGGTGGGGAAGGCAATTGATGACGTAGATCACGAAGTAGCTGAATAATCCAAGCACCTTCAGCAGTAGCAACGACTAAGGATCTATACTCAACTTCGGCACTGGAGCGAGAAACAGTGGATTGTTTCTTGGAGCACGAAGAGACAAGATTAGTGCCCAAGAAGATGACATAGTCAGTGGTAGACCGACGTGTATTAGGACACCCAACCCAATCAACATCAGAATAAACAAGTAACTCATGAGAGGGGGTGCAATGAAGTTGAAGACCATGATGGATCGTGCTTTTAACAAAACATAATATGCGTTTGAGTGCTCGAAAATGATCTTCAGTTGGAGCATGCATGTACTGGCAAATGGAATTGACACTGAATGAGAGATCAGGCCGCGTAATGGTCAAATATTGTAGGGCTTCGACAAGAGACCGAAAAAGGGTGGGATCCGAAAATAGCTTCCCTTCGGTGGAGAGATATTGACTAACTACAAAAGGAGTGGTAATGGGTTTGGCCTCAACCATGTCGGCATGTTGTAATAGATCAAGAGCATACTTGGTTTGGCTAAGAAATAAGCCTTGAGAGTTATGTTAGACTTCGACACTAAGGACTTAGTGAAGAGAACTCAAATCTTTCATAGCATATTCTTTGTACAGCCGTGTGATAAGAGTCTTGATCAAAACAGGATTGTTGCTAGTAAGCATCATATCATCAACATAAAGTAGGAGATAAACTGTCTGTCGTGGTATGATGGACAAATAGAGAGGAATCAGTCTGACTGAGAAGAAAATCAAGTTTCATCAAAAAAGAGTTGAAGCGTTGGAAATTAAGCACGAGGGGCTTGTTTGAGTCCATAAAGGGCACGCTTCAAACGACACACATGTTGAGGAAACTGCAGATCAGTGTAGCCAGGTGGTTGATCCATGTACACTTCTTCAGAAATATGACCATGAAAAAGGACTTTCTTAACATCTAATTGATGTAAGTGCCATCTAGAAGTGACTGCAATGGATAGGATAATCTGACCAGTAGCAGGACATACCACAGGGCTGGATGTATCTTCAAAATCAAGGCCATGAATCTGAGAGAAGCCCTTATAGCCACAAGACGAGCCTTATGACACTCAATGGAACCATCAGCATGGAGCTTGGTCTTAAAGATCCAACGACAACCAACAACATCATGATTTATAGGGCGAGGTACAAGATCCCAAGTATCATTCTTCTTCAAAGCTTGGATTTCACCATCCATTGCCGAGAGCCATTCAGGGTGTTTGGCAGCAGATTTGAAACCCTAAGGCTATTGTATGTCAAGAAGGACCAGAAAAAATTGAGAAAAAGGTGAAATCGTCAACGCATGATAGGTCATAGGTTTAAATATACCAACTTTTCTTCTAGTAACCATTGGGTGAGTGTTGGTAGAAGTCGTCGGTATGGAAACAAATGGTCTGGGATAAGGGACGGTAGACACAACAAGAGATGTCTGGGGGAAGGATTCACCAAGATCATCACTGCATGGTAAACAAATAGGATTCGAAATAGGAGAAGACAACAAGAAGTCCAGAGAGTCAGAAGACACATTATTATTAGACTCCAAATAATCAGATAAAGTAATATAAGGTGCTAAACTATGAAGTTGTTGTATATCATCACCTGCATAAAGGAAGATAGTTTCATAAAATTGGACATGTCGAGAGACATAAAGACGTTGTGTCTTGTGGGCAAAACAGCGAAATCCCTTGTGAAGGGGGCTATAACCTAAAAAGACACAAGAAGAGATTTTGGGAGATAATTTGTTTGGAGCATAATCTCGCAAATAAGGAAAACATAAACATCCAAAAGTACAAAGCATAGAGTATTTGGGTTGTTTACCAAACAGAAGCTCATAGGGAGTTTTGCCATCAAGAGTTTGCAAGGGGAGTCGATTGATGAGGTAAACAGCTGTCGAAAAGGCCTCAACCCAAAGAGGCAACAGAACACATGCATGAAACATAATGGTGAGACCCGTTTCAGTGACATGTTAGTGTTTATGTTCAGCAATCCCATTTTGACTTGGTGCGTAATGGCAAGTAATGCACAACACAATACCTCGAGATGTGAGGTGAGAGCAAAATTTATTATTTGTAAATTCAGTTCCACCATCACATTGGAAGGACTTAATTTTGAAAGAAAATTGAGTCTCAATATAACGTTGAAAATTAACAAAGGTATCAAAAAAATCAAATTTGTGTTTTAATGAGAAAAACCAATTGAATCTGGTACAATCATCAATTAACATTGCATAATACCGAAAACCAGTAATGGAACAGACAAGTGAAGGGGCCCATCAATCACAGTGTAAGCGGTCAAAAGGCAAAGCACAACGATCATTATTAAGTGAAAAGGGTAAACGATGGCTCTTGCCAAGATTACATGCAACACATAAACTTGAATCTAAACCCATCAATTTATCACTACAGGAAATAAAACCAGACTTGGAAAGAGAGTCAACAGTATGAAAGCTAGGGTGACCTAGACGAGCATGTCACAGATGAACAGAGGCACTCGACTTATTGGAAGAAACGACCAAAGCAAGGGCATGATGATTTTGATCGAGCACGTACATGCCATTCTCACATCTGTCGACCCTAAGCACTCCTCTTGTAACCCGATCCTGTATGCTAAAACCAGAAGGAGAAAAAGTGACACAACAGTTATTATCTTTTGTAAGTTGACTGATGGAAATAAGCTTTTTCTGAATGTCAAGAACAACTAAAACATTGGGTAAAAGTAGTGAGCTGTTTGGAACAAGAGTAGAAACGAAACCAGTGTGAGAAATAGAAAGTGACTGACCATTACCAACCATCACCCTTTCATTACCAGAGTAGATAGCAGGAACATCTACACCCTCGGGATCATTTGTCATGTGAGAGGTTGCACCAAAGTTCGGATACCAATCAAAGTCGTTGGAGTCCGGAATCGAACAAGCAGCAAAAGTCTCATCAAGGTTGGTAGACTGTTTTTTCTTGAGATTAAGAAATGTCCAACAGTGTTTAGCCAAGTGTCCCTCCTTGTCACAGAGTTGACAATAAACTAGAGAAGAATTGGACGATTTTGAGGCAAAGTCAAATGAAGGTTTTGGCTTCCCTTTCTTGGTGTTTTTTGGTCTAGTGGAAGAATTCCACTGAGCGTAGAACGCTGAGTTGGTAGATTGTTGATACACTAATCTTTCAAAAATCTCATGGCTCAAAGCTTTCGGAATGATATCTGCAAAAGAAGGTAAAGGAAGCTGAACATTTTGAGCGACAAATTTTGAGCCTCTCTGCATCTGTTGAAGCTCGTCCTTGAGTTGGAGTTCTCGAGTTTTGGATCTGTGAGAGAAAAAGGTTTCAAGAGTAGTCCAAGCCTCATGTGCATGACTCAGACCAAGTACCTCACTCATAGACTCCTTCGTAAGAGAAGAATAGAGAAGACTTTGGAGAGTCTGATCTGTATTCAACCAAGAAGTGTAGGCTAGATTCACCTGGGTGGTGCCATCAGAGCCAATAACCTTTGGAGAAGGAGTTGGGACACTACCATCCAGAAATCCAAGAAGATCTTAACTAGTCAACAGAGGGATAAATTGATTTCTACGTAACACANAGTCTGATCTGTATTCAACCAAGAAGTGTAGGCTAGATTCACCTGGGTGGTGCCATCAGAGCCAATAACCTTTGGAGAACGAGTTGGGACACTACCATCCAGAAATCCAAGAAGATCTTAACTAGTCAACAGAGGGATAAATTGATTTCTACGTAACACATAATTGGAGGAGGTCAGTTTGATGGTGAGCATATGCACCATCATGTTCAGCGGAAGTGAAGGTGATGAGGACGAGGCAGCCATGGAAAGGATCAGAAAAAATCAAAAAGGCTCTGATACCATGTGAAAGTTTAAAGACCCATGTAGAATATGGCTAGAATCCTCAANCATCATGTTCAGCGGAAGTGAAGGTGATGAGGACGAGGCAGCCATGGAAAGGATCATAAAAAATTAAAAAGGCTCTGATACCATGTGAAAGTTTAAAGACCCATGTAGAATATGGCTAGAATCCTCGANTCACATTGGAAGGACTTAATTTTGAAAGAAAATTGAGTCTCAATATAACGTTGAAAATTAACAAAGGTATCAAAAAAATCAAATTTGTGTTTTAATGAGAAAAACCAATTGAATCTGGTACAATCATCAATTAACATTGCATAATACCGAAAACCAGTAATGGAACAGACAAGTGAAGGGGCCCATCAATCACAGTGTAAGCGATCAAAAGGCAAAGCACAACAATCATTATTAAGTGAAAAGGGTAAACGATGGCTCTTGCCAAGATTTCATGCAACACATAAACTTGAATCTAAACCCATCAATTTATCACTACAGGAAATAAAACCAGACTTGGAAAGAGAGTCAACAGTATGAAAGCTAGGGTGACCTAGACGAGCATGTCACAGATGAACAGAGGCACTCGACTTATTGGAAGAAACGACCAAAGCAAGGGCATGATGATTTTGATCGAGCACGTACATGCCATTCTCACATCTGTCGACCCTAAGCACTCCTCTTGTAACCCGATCCTGTATGCTAAAACCAGAAGGAGAAAAAGTGACACAACAGTTATTATCTTTTGTAAGTTGACTGATGGAAATAAGCTTTTTCTGAATGTCAAGAACAACTAAAACATTGGGTAAAAGTAGTGAGCTGTTTGGAACAAGAGTAGAAACGAAACCAGTGTGAGAAATAGAAAGTGACTGACCATTACCAACCATCACCCTTTCATTACCAGAGTAGATAGCAGGAACATCTACACCCTCGGGATCATTTGTCATGTGAGAGGTTGCACCAAAGTTCGGATACCAATCAAAGTCGTTGGAGTCCGGAATCGAACAAGCAGCAAAAGTCTCATCAAGGTTGGTAGACTGTTTTTTCTTGAGATTAAGAAATGTCCAACAGTGTTTAGCCAAGTGTCCCTCCTTGTCACAGAGTTGACAATAAACTAGAGAAGAATTGGACGATTTTGAGGCAAAGTCAAATGAAGGTTTTGGCTTCCCTTTCTTGGTGTTTTTTGGTCTAGTGGAAGAATTCCACTGAGCGTAGAACGCTGAGTTGGTAGATTGTTGATACACTAATCTTTCAAAAATCTCATGGCTCAAAGCTTTCGGAATGATATCTGCAAAAGAAGGTAAAGGAAGCTGAACATTTTGAGCGACAAATTTTGAGCCTCTCTGCATCTGTTGAAGCTCGTCCTTGAGTTGGAGTTCTCGAGTTTTGGATCTGTGAGAGAAAAAGGTTTCAAGAGTAGTCCAAGCCTCATGTGCATGACTCAGACCAAGTACCTCACTCATAGACTCCTTCGTAAGAGAAGAATAGAGAAGACTTTGGAGAGTCTGATCTGTATTCAACCAAGAAGTGTAGGCTAGATTCACCTGGGTGGTGCCATCAGAGCCAATAACCTTTGGAGAAGGAGTTGGGACACTACCATCCAGAAATCCAAGAAGATCTTAACTAGTCAACAGAGGGATAAATTGATTTCTACGTAACACATAATTGGAGGAGGTCAGTTTGATGGTGAGCATATGCACCATCATGTTCAGCGGAAGTGAAGGTGATGAGGACGAGGCAGCCATGGAAAGGATCATAAAAAATTAAAAAGGCTCTGATACCATGTGAAAGTTTAAAGACCCATGTAGAATATGGCTAGAATCCTCGAACAATTTTGAGGTGACTAATTCTCATTATATAGAATGTATATATAGTGGGAAGATTCTATATAACGGGAAACAGATAAACGTAATTGATACTTATCCTATAAACTAGAAAAGATATATACATAATAACAAATCATCTATAAGATCAAGGAAAGAATCGGAAGAGGATTCATCCTTATCAATAAATATAGTATTGAGAGTGTTAACGGCCACCCCCCATTACATTAAAGAAGATGAAAGCTCAGTTTGAAGAGGTCAAAAAGGCTTTCTTAACTAACTATGGTGTTAATCTTGGTACCATACCGAAATCTATTGGAGATCAAGTTATGACTAAAAACAAGTAGAGTTGTGATTAATTTTGGAATGATAGGATTAGTTTCAAACAATCTCATTTCATCATAATGTCATTAGATTTAATCATAATTTTACCCTTATTTTGTAAAAAAAACTTTCGTACAGTACTGCAAAGTAGTTTTATCCTTAAAAAGATGGTGGTTCAACGCTTAAACTGAGCAAAAAATCTTCATTGAGATGTCTTTTGAGAGATGACAGGAGACAGTGGGTCTAAGGATGCTATGGAAAAGATTGTATGGATAGATACCTGTCTGTTGAATTGTGGGCTATATTGAAGGGTCTCCAACTGGTTCAAAAGGATGGACTCGAGAAAGTCATCTTGGAGTTTCACTCAAAAATCTTCTTTACATACACAATTATCAGTCTAATCCTTTGTACCAAACGAGTGCGGGCCTGCGGCAAGGAGTAGGAAGCTGTTAGCTTTATCACAGAGCCTTCCAACACCGAATCTTCCCCTAGTTTTGATAGAGGGTTTGAAATTGGTGTTATACATGATGAAGATTCCTCAGTTCACTTGCTCGGATAAGGTAACATGTGTGCCTACACTATCGCAAACTTGGGTGGTTTGATTGTTGTAATTGGAATTAAGAGGAACTTTGATCAGATTTGGAGGAACGTGGTTTGCCAATTCCATTTCTAAGAATGACAATACCTTACTCTCCTTTGACACCTCCCAGCTGAGACGTCTACCTTAAGCTATTCCCTTATCATAGTCAGGCCAAAACCTTTAACCAAACAACATCAATACTTGTACACAAGTTGAACACATAGAAGTATTACTACTATTGGATTTTGACAATGAACCCCGTTTACTGTTGAGACCAACTCTTGGTCCAATAAAAACAGTGCATTAAATTTGCAGATTAGATTCTGATAGCATTGTTGTAAACCAATTCAGCCATGCTCAAGCTATGTACAGCCAACAGTAACGGGTTGAACACCAAACAGCCTTTCAGGTTTGTCTTCGACTGCTCTGTCAATGAAGTTCCTCCATGAATGAGGTCAATTAAAAAGCCGGTATGTGTTAACTCAAACACTACAGGTGGGGTGGTCAAATTTCCTCACATTCTCTTATTTCTTTTCTTTTTTTGGTTTAACAATAAATGTGTCCGGGTAAGTTTATATGNAATTTCCTCACATTCTTTTATTTCTTTTCTTTTTTTGGTTTAACAATAAATGTGTCCGGGTCAGTTTATATGCATATCATCTACGTCAAAATTAAAATATTCATGAAGATTTGATATAATTGTGTCATTTTTTCATGAAAATGAAAAAAAATAAAAAATTATGAGAAATATTTAGATAAAAATATCTTAGCATAAATAAAGTTTTCAGTAAATAGATAAATATGAGGTGAGCAAGCCGAGGGCTACATGACTTTGCAGCCACTACAAGCTCTTACAATCCTCCGGTCAAAAAAAAGCTCATACAAGCACACAGACACACTTCTAAACTTTCTCCCATTTTCCTCCCTCTCTTTTTCCCTTTTCCACACACCGCTCCTCCAAAAAAACCCAATTCCACTCTTTCACCCTCATTTCACTTTTCAAGAAAAAAACAAAAAACAAAAAACAAAAACAAAAAGAAAAAAGTTACTTAATTTGACCAAAAGGATCTCAAACTCTGAAATTTTTCCCAGAGAAAGTTTGACCAAACTGCCAGTTAGAAGGTACGATGTTCCATGAAGTGGAAGAGCGATGGTCACTGCCTTTAACCCTGAAAGAGAGTGACTGACCAACCAGCACTGCGTTTGACTGCCAATTTTGACCCCAATTGCGACTCATGCTCATCCAATTTGTTTTCGACCCTTTGATCCACACCTGCACGATATCCCCTGCACCCGCGACGTTGGTGATCAAAACCAAGTTGAAGTATCGAAAGCCGTTGATTGTGAATCTGATTCCTCCTCGCTTCTTACATGGCACCCTGAAAAGACAAAATTGTAAATTCATTATTATAATAGTAAAAAACTATNGAAGTATCGAAAGCCGTTGATTGTGAATCTGATTCCCCCTCGCTTCTTACATGGCACCCTTAAAAGACAAAATTGTAAATTCATTATTATAATAGAAAAAAACTATTAACCATGGGATTAGAAACTGATAAAAAATGATTACCGGCGGTAAGAGACGGGGACAATGCCGGCGCGGTACTCGGCGATCTTGAGGAACATGGGCATGGCAAGGTCGAAGTGAGGGCGAGGAGGGTTGCACCACCCGCCATTGTCGTTGGGTAATGCGTAGTTTGGTGGGCAGAAGTTGGTGGCAGTGACGAAAATGGAGGGACTACCAGGGTGGCACCACTGTGGGTCACTGTCACACTTGATCTCAAAACACGACCCACAGCTGAAACCATTGTTGAACAGAACTGTGCTTAGCGCCGCCGTGTTCACTCCGTAGCCTTGGCTGTATAAGTTTCCATACCCACAAGCTCCACCTGTAGAGAGAGAGAGAGAGAGAGAGAGAGAGAGAGAGAGAGCTGTTAATACAGTTCATAGTTTCTATACAGTTCATAGTCCCTAATTCTTTCTAAGAAAATGCAGAAACAGAGAACAGAGGGAGTGAAGAGAAAAGAAGAAAGAACAAATTAAAAGTAATGCAATGCAAATTCTTTAAAGTTTAATCATTCAATGACTTTAAAGCAAGAACAAGAAACCAACATGGGAAATGTGGAATTCATAGAGAAGTTGAAAGGTTTGATTGCATTGGGAGAGTGTTTGAGCAATTAGTTTTGTAAAATCTCATGAAACAGGGGAGAGAGAGTGCGACTCTTGAACCGAAACAAAAGTTGAAGAGGGGTCAATGGGTTTAGCTTAAAAATTTTAAACATACCCATAGTTCCAGAGGCGTCACTTCCACCGTAGAACGTAGCATGAGCGCTTTGCCACGCCCCACCGGTGTAAACACCTGGAATTCTAGCGTCAACTATTGTCAAAAACAAACTCAAGGTGACAATGCAGGAAAGTCTTACAACAGCCATTGACAGAGAGAGAGAGAGAGAGAGAGAGAGAGAGAGAGAGAGACTTGGGACTTGGAAGTTGGTGAGTCTGAAGAGAATGCAGAGGGTGAGCCACTACTTATTGGGGGCAGAGAGGAGAGAGAAAGGGAAGGAGAAAATCAGGAGACATACCTAATTACTGATGTTTGGTGAGTCCTGCTTAGTTTAAAGCACAAATGGCGGAAACCAAACCCCCAAAATCCCTATATATTTAATAATTTAACGTAATTACCCTTGGGTTTTGCCATTTCCACTCGAACCCACTTGGGGATTTTTGGGAAAGTAAGGGGTATCAAATGGAATAAAGTGGGATTATGAAGTTTGATTGAAAAAGGGAATGGTCAGGGCCACAGTCCAGAGGGGTGGATATGAAACCGTTTTGCCGCTTTGCTTGAATTGCAAGTTGTGGCATCAACTACACTGGTGGCCTCTTTTCAGTTTTCAAGAATTTTGGTCCAATTACATTTATCGGACAGCAATGCTACAATTTAAAAAATTAACTTAAAAATTTGAGTTAATGAGACGGTTGTTATATTTATTATTAATTTAACTATAGATCTTAATATTTATTGAAACTCATTATCTATTTAATGATAGTGATTCATCGAGTCAAAATTTTAAATTTATTTAGCATTTTCTTTTATCGAAAAGTGGTAATATAAATGAGCTGCAAATTCAGACGTTTTGAATTTGAATTTTGGCAACTCCTTGGAATTTAGTCACGAAAGATTTATCCTCCATGAATACAGTAGTTCCGACGTAAATGACCTATTTTTAAGTGGACCGAAGAGGAGATTAGTCTAAATACGTGTAAACTGATCCAAACATTCATGACCGTTGAATACTTGAACCCAACAAAAAAATAATTTTTTGTTACTAGACCTCTACTTCTTACCCACTAAAAACGTATAACGTATAATTTTTTTAGATTTATTAATTTATCATGTCGTAAATCATTCAAACTAAAATCAACCTAATTTTGGCTGGTTGCTTCTGTAGCTTTATCCCAAGAATTTCCTTTCAATTAGGCTTTTCCTTTTCTCTTTTCTTTATTTGGGGGGGCTGCTTTTACCAAAATTGTCCATCCTATGCAAGAAAAGTGGTCATTTTCATTGTTTAAGAAGGATGCAGCTTGATAATGAAGTATAATTAAGGCTGCTTCTTTGATAATGACCTTTCATTTTCTCCGAGCAGAGGAGGGGAATGGAGAACAGAGTAGTACCTAGTTTGTAGGGTCTGTATATGTTGGTATTGGATTGAAAGCAACATCTTTGCAGCTTTGCTTCCTTTTGTAAAGTGCCAAATGGCCAATGACAAATTGTTTTGATATTTATTGACATAAAGGAAACAAAAGGATTAGAAAAAAAAAAGGGCAGTAGAAGACTGACCTCCACTAATGTCACACCGTAATGGACTTGAGTGCAAATGGTCGATCTTGGTGGCACCTTGCACACCAAGGCATGTCAGAAATTGGAGTCAAGGTGATGCGGCTAAGTGGTTCGACAGATTGAGACGAACCAAGACAGCATGAGACCACCCGATTGAGTATGACAGCATGGGTGGGCTCAATTGAAGCAATGTGGGTGCAGAGCTTCGGATTGCATGGCATGGGTTGAACCCAACATGCACATTGGTTCGTGTAGCAAGGTTGACTAGTGAATGTGGGCACCTGATTGGCACATGGCTGCTCAATGCATGTGACCAGGAGGATGTGGGCAGTTATGATGCTGAGACTCAATCAAGGCAGTTCTAGATGTCCCCAGTCTGAATCCAGTCTAGATGCATGCTGATGAAGGAGCAGTTCCACAGCAGTTACTTGAAGAGGTGGAACTGCCTGCCAGGTGTTGCACAGAGACCAAGTCTACTAGTCCAGTATGCTATGGAATAGCAAAAACGTGGGTAACTACCCCTTGACAGATGGGGGTGTCATCTGCCTTCCTCTTATATAAATAGAGGTGTTTGAGTATTCTGGAAGGGGGAGAGTGTTCTGGCTTTTGAGAGTCCTTGTAAATTGTTGAGTTCAATATATAAGGTTTGAGAGTGTTGTCCTAGTAGATTCGTGTGTGTCTTCTGTGTGAGTTTTTGTCCCTTATTCTTGAGTTGAGTGTGGTTGGTTGTAATANGAAAAACGAAAGTTACCCTGTGACAGTTTGGTATCAGAGCGTGGTTTTGGCAACAGATCAATTATGGCTGGCGGAATGAATGCTGATCTAAGGGAAAAGGTGGCACGGTTGGAGGAACTGGTTGGTCCTCCACAGTCTGGTGATGCTGTAGCTCTCTCTGTGCAGATTGAGTTGCTATATCAGCGGTTCGAAGAGATGCGTGTTGCACAGAAACAACTTCAAAAGACTGAATCTGATCACTTCAGTCGAGTGAAAAACGAAGTCGTTGACGTGTTGACTACGATCTCCACATGGACCGATGATATGAGGGAAAAATTGAGTTCCCTCGAGACCGACGTTTCAGTGCTTAAGAGGGCATTACAGAATGCCCCTGTGGCTTCTGGCAGTGAAAGCACTCAGAAAGCTAAAATGTCTGACCCTAAGCCTTTCACAGGCAGTCAAAATGCTAAAGAACTCGAGAATTTTCTGTGGAATATAAGNGAATGCCCCTGTGGCTTCTGGCAGTGAAAGCACTCAGAAAGCTAAAGTGTCTGACCCTAAGCCTTTCACAGGCAGTCAAAATGCTAAAGAACTCGAGAATTTTCTGTGGAATATGAGACATTACTTCAAAGCAGTCTGNCAAAGCAGTCCGTACTCCGGATGCTGAGAAGGTAGATCTCACTAGCATGTACCTGTTCGGTGATGCTAAATTATGGTAGCGAACACGTTCTGAGGACAAATCTCGTCTTCCAATTACTACTTGGGAGTCTCTGTCCGCTGAAATGAAGGAGCAATTTCTTCCCAGCAACACGGCTTGGCAAGCCCGTGATGCATTGAGGAAACTTCGACATACAAGCACCGTGAGAGAGTACGTGAAGCAATTCTCGTCTCTGATGCTTGACATTAAAAATATCTCAGAGGAAGACAAACTGTTCAACTTGATGTCTGGCCTCCAAACTTGGGCACAGGCAGAACTTCGTCGGCAAGGGGTGAAGGATTTACCCGCTGCTATGTCCGCAGCAGACGCGCTGGTTGATTACAAAACGCAGGCTAATCCTCTAGAGAAGGAGTCGAAAGGGAAAGCCAAGTTTGCTAAGAAGGATAAGCATAAGAAAAAGGCTGAGAAGTTTGACAATTCAGAAAAACAGACTGACAAAGCCTCTTCATCAAAGGGAGGTGTTGACTCAGGATGTTTTATCTGTAATGGCCCTCATCATGCCAGAAATTGCCCCAAGAAGGAAAAGCTCAGTGCCCTCATGGCTGAGAAAACTGATTGTTCTGACGAACCAACACGAGTCAACCCATTACAACTTCTTAATGCAATTCGCAAAGAGGAGACAGTGGCAAAGAGGGGGTTGATGTTTGTGCAGATTCGCCTGAACAATGTGGTTGTCCAGGCAATGGTCGATACAGGTGCAACCCATAATTTTGTTTCTGATCGGGAAGTACAGCGGCTTGGTCTGGCTTTGGTGAAAGACTCTAGCCAGATTAAGGCTGTTAATTCAGAAGCAAAATCAGTAGGCGGCGTCGCAAGAGAAGTCCCTCTAAAAGTGGGTGATTGGCAAGGAACATGTGATTTTATGGCAGTCCCTCTCCATGATTTACAGGTAATCCTTGGACTGCAATTCCTTACAAAAGCAATGGTGTCTGTTATGCTGCATTTAAATGGGATGTTCGTGATGGACATGCCCAATCCTTGTTTTGTTCCCCTCACCAAAGCCAAGTCTTCGGGGGAAATGTTGTCTGCCTTACAAGTAAAAGATGACTTGCGAAAAGGAGAGACAACATACTTGGATGTTCTATTTGAGGAAGAGGAGTCCAAAGCATTTCAAGTCCCTGAATCAGTACAACAGTTGTTGGTTGAGTTCAAGGATGTGGCACCTAAAGAATTGCCAGCAAGGTTACCGCCAAGACGGGAGATTGACCATGCCATAGAGTTAATACCAGGGGCAAAAATCTCTGCACAGGTTCCTTATCGAATGTCTCCATCAGATTTGGCAGAGCTAAGGAGACAACTTGGGGGGTTATTGGACATTGGGTTCATTCAACCTTCCAAGGCACCCTATGGAGCTCCTGTTCTGTTTCAAAAGAAGAAGGATGGATCCTTACGGCTTTGTGTAGACTACAGAGCGCTCAACAAAGTCACTGTCAAGAACAACTATCCAGTGCCGCTTGTCGACGAACTATTTGATAGATTGGGAAAGGCGATTTTCTTTACCAAGATGGATTTGCGGCTGGGATATCATCAAGTCAGAATTGCAGAGGGAGATGAGGAGAAGACTACTTGTGTGACAAGGTATGGGTCATATGAGTTTTTAGTTATGCCTTTCGGCTTAACCAATGCCCCTGCTACATTCTGTAACTTAATGACCAATGTATTTCGGGAATACTTGGACCGCTTCATGGTGATTTATTTGGATGACATAGTTGTTTATAGCCAGACTCTTGAGGAGCATGTTGAGCATCTTAGGTTGGCCTTGACAAAGTTAAGGAAAACCCAGTTGTATTTGAAACCAGAAAAATGTGAGTTTGTCCAGAAAGAAATTTCATTCTTAGGGCATATTATTTCTGCGGGCGTGGTGAAGATGGACCCGAAAAAAGTTGAGGCCATTGCAAATTGGCCTGTCCCTACTAAGGTTACTGAATTGCGTTCTTTCCTTGGTTTGACAAACTATTATCGAAAATTCGTGAAGAATTATTCGAAGAAGGTCGCAGTGCTGACTGATCTTCTAAGGAAGGATAGGACATGGAACTGGTCCTACGAATGCCAGGAGGCATTCGATCGATTGAAGGCGGTGGTGACGTCTAGCCCAATTTTACGCTTACCTGATTTTGATTTGCCCTTTGAAGTCCATACAGACGCATCAGACTTTGCTCTTGGAGGGGTGTTGGTGCAGAATGGGCATCCAGT